TAATGGTAATTGACAATTAATGCATTTATTCCTGCATAATTATAGAATAGAATAAAGCTAGTCACATTGAAAGTACTGTTAACTAAAGGAACATGATTCATATAAAAAAAAAAGTTGCTAAACATAGCCGGATTAATGATGTTATGTCACCCAAGTAATTTCCATTTCAGTAACTGTTATAGTTGGTCTATTTTTATTAGTTTTTACTTGCTGCTTAGAATTGGCAATTGACGTAGTTTTTTAGCATTTTTCTTTACAGCTCACTTATAAAGTGCTTATACATTTTTAAGAGGTTAATGAATGCTACCATTATAAGACCAATTTGATTAAAGTTTGTATTTGTAAAAATTCAGCCTAATGGTATGAAGAATATGAAAGTTTTAAAAAGTGAATGAATAAAGTTACTACATGAAGTGAAATCTTTTAACTCACACTTTAAGAAAACAAAATGACATTAATTTTCTTCCTGTGTTTATCAATGGGTTTTTTTTCTCTTTTTCAAGGTTATATTATACTGAAGTGTTTAGGATAAACAATTTAATCCAAAGTAAACTTTCTCTAATTAAGAGGTACAAGATTAACTGTCAAGAAACTTGTTAATAAATATTTACAATGTCCTCACCTGTTAGGATCACTAATCTGTTCAGGTGTTGATAATGTGGCCTGATTAAGACAAATTATATGAGGGGCTGGTTCATATTATCCTTATTAGTCTTTTGAACAGGAGTAAAGGTTTACCCCTTGTCTCCTGTTTAGGATTGGCTTTCCAGTTCCTTCTAAAGTCTTTTCCTTCTCTTTCACATCTGTAGCTTTTTGTATCTTAGTAGCATTATAAAGAAAAATCTTAAGATGAGGAACTTGTGTATTTATTTATTTATTTATTTTTTTATTTATTTTTCAGTGAATGAAAATGAACTGAAATGGTGGAATTATGCCAATATATACACAAATTCTTTGCATGTGTTTATACGTACAATGTGTAGATAGCATAATGGTTATTGGCACAGTGGAATCAGCTACCTGTGGTCAAGTTCTGGTCTCACCAGTCAAATTTACTTTTGCAAAAATGCCCTTTTTTGTTTCAGAAAATATAAAATTGAGATAATTATGTATCAGTTAAAAATCACTTTAAGCATGTCAGTGAGAAGCAGTTTTAATTTGACACAGAAGCCAGCTTATATGCCCAGAGGCAATTTTGCATTTGACCTTGTTTGGTAGGCTAAATTAAATCTCAAAACTCATTCGAATTTTTAAAGAATTTTAGAACATTTTCTTTGGAATATCTTGCCAATAAGAAATAGCATGAATAATGAAAGTAGATCAATAGATATTTCTAAATATTCTTAGAAGCACATCTGTTTTTAAAATGCAATACTTGATATTTTTATCAGAGGATGTTGGTGTTTTAAGACTTGTAAATTTTACTATCTTTTGTAAATGCAGCTTGAAGCATAAGACCTGATACTCTCAAGAACCACTTTAGAATAAATAATTCTGAAAATCTAAGGTTAAAATAATTCATAATTTTTTTTTTTTTTTTTTTTTAACATTTGAACTGGTCCATTTTGCAGATTTATAGATATTTATAGAATATGGCATCTAGTGAATAAACCTAGGCTATTTTCCAGAATCGACATTTGTCTGGTGTTAATCAACTTGCTGGAATAACCCCCCAATTTCTCAAATCTTACCAGGAATATCTCAAAAGTAATTAATTCTGTTTCTGTGGAAACTACAATAGATACAGGGAGCAACATTACTGGGTTGAGCAAGTTTTCAGCTTCAACCCCCCCCCAATTCTACACCATTGTTATGCAATTTCACTAACAGTGGACAAGAATTGGTGTTCAGCTGTCCAGAATGTGGATTATCACATCACTTGCAACTGCTAGATGCATTACCCACCACCTTGCTGTGTTCACATGCAGTTTGACACTCAATAAACATGAGACCAATGTATGTTAATCGGTGCAATTTTTTATAGGAGAAATTTAATAATACCTATCTGTTTTGTATACATTTTTACATCAGTAACCAGGCAAAAAAAAAAAAAAAAAATTAAGATTCAACTTCTGCTGCTATATTTCTAAAACCTCCATCTGATATCTTTGGCCAATATTTATAAAATTTAAAACAAAAGTGTATTTTATTTGGAAATAGATGGGTGAGCAATCCAACATGGATTTTGTTTGATTGCTAACAATATATATTTTTTTTTTTTTTTTTTATTAGTCTGTTTCCTTGTATAGAAACATTCAGTATTCATTAACAGAGCAGCCAGTGCTACATTTGGTTGAAACTTTTAAAATCTTTCTATTAACCTAATTTTTCAGGATAATAGGTTTCTTTTAGAAATTACTTGTTACAATATTGATAGGAGATTCCTTCATAACCTTTTGTTCAGTTTTTCTCTTCAAGTTACATATGCTATCTATTTTAGTTGTTGAAAGTCTTCAAGTGATGCGGTTTCTGTTATTTGGTACAGTTTTGTTAGTGATTCTGTAGTGCTAGTCTGAGATTCAAAGTAGGACAGTTTTCTCAAAGACCTACAAGCTTCATTCATTGGAAGTCATTTTTAATATTTGATTTGAGAGTGGTTTTATACTGTTAACCCATTTCTGAATGGGTTGTGCACTATGAATGACATCCATATGAGGACAGATTGAGAATTTCATAAGTGAACAATAGCTTGCGAAATGTTTTCTTTGGTTGCAAATTAACATTTTTCTCCCTTTTTAATTTGTTCTTAATGATGCTCCAGAGATTTTCAGTTCTGTTTAGATCTGAGGAAAATAGTGTCCAGTCTATTAATTTGCTATTCTTGGCTATTTTCTTCCGGTAATGAGCTATTTTATATAAATCTCCTGTTTTCTAAATAGAGGCTGAAAATTGTCCTTCAAAAATTCAGCTTATGCCTGGAAGTTATTTTCGTCTATCTAATAAATACTAAGGTCCAACCAACTCCTCTTCATTTCCAACCCCAAACATGATCACTCCTCTGGTATTGCTGAAATCTTTGGTAGGATGCTGCTCTTCCTTTGCAACTAGTCCATCAATGGTAGCTTGATACTCATAAGTTTTCATACTTTTTATCCCATTCCAGACATGACACCTTGTCTGGACTTCAAAGCTGATTAAATATCGGGCATTATACTTTTCAACAACAGTATTCTATGTAAAGATGATTCTGACAGTCAACCTCTTCAAGTCTTCAGGTTTTATTTTTTAAACAATACTGATCTCTAATGCAGCAGGGTCTCTACTGTTTTATCACAGTATTTAATAGTCCCTGTGATGCATTTTAAAAAAGTGCTGCCTTATCAAAGTTGTTTAATGATAAAAATCCATTTACAACCCATAATTTAATCATTTTTCAGTGATTACCTTATATGATTTTGTTTTTGTTATGCCATAAGTTGGTCTCTGCAATATTGGGGCTAAAATAGCAATAATATTGCATAATTTGGTTTGCATCTGACATTTTCACTATAATTATTACTTTCATTTTTTTTTTTTTTTTTTTTTTTTTTTTTTTTTTTTTACACACACTAAATTCAAGTTACACTCTGATGGCTCATGTGAGCCAAAAGTTTAAAAATGACAGCCAATATAATAAAGAAATATCCAAATGTTGGAGAGTTTTTATCTTGAAACTAAAGCCATTATACAACACTTGGAAAAGCTAATGATAAAACACATTTGTTGTCTGTTATATTTAACAATATGTTTGAAAATGTATATGATTCCAATGTGTGTGTGTGTGTGTATATATATATATATATATATATATATATATATATATATATATATATATATATATATATATATAGATATTTAAAATTTATGAAAATATATAATTGAGTTCTGTCAAAGTATGACACTTGAGATATATATGTGTGTGTGTGTGTCTTAAGTGTCATTTTGACAGAACTCCATTATTTATCAGTAGTAATGTTCAATCATAACAAAATTCTCTAACTTTTTTTTTTTTTTTTTTTCCTTAAATTGGCTCATTTCACTTGAACCTCAATTTGATCTGAAAGTGATGCTTCCTTATTTTGGCAAGTTAATTGTTGGGTAAATATAACTGGAATCTGAATTAATTCCATATGAACCAATAGCCTAGTGGAAAGCATTGGTTTGTGAATTTGGTTACTTTAATAATTGTTAGTTCAATTCTTGGGACAGGCAGTGTGTACTTGAACGGGGTGAGCAATAACTGAGTAGTATTAAAATAAAGACTAGACAATGTTCCTAGACATGGGCAATGGAGCGAGAAGAGTGTACCCCTGTAGGTTAAATAAAGGGTTCAATTTAGAATTTCCTGTAGGTTACTGGATTTATATTCACTTGAAGGCTGGAGAGAACAGTAGCTGAAACAGCATAACAAAGATGAGGACAATAGTCCAAATGCAAATAGTGTAAATGACACCTTGTCCCAGAAATCGGGCAATGTAAGTTTCATAAAGATTTTTAATTATGTCAACAGCAGCAGAAATTTTAATAAAAAGTATTAAATTCTTGTATTTAAATTTTTAAAATACAGTAATTGATACAGGAATTCCTACCTCTGTAGATTTGATAACTAAATTGCTATTTTTATAAATACTTATTCCAAACAAGTGAGAACAGACTGATTCTTCTGACTGATTATCAGTGATATTTATTATCTGAAAAATGATCTTGAACATCAGAAAATATTGTCATTGCACATAATTAGAAAGTTGCTTCCTTCAATGAAAATCTTTTTACTTAAACATTATTCAGTATATAACTTGATTTATAAGTAGAATAGTTCTTTAAAATTAACATTTAAAAAGGTGTTTTATATTATTTGATATAAGTAAGTTTCCTTGGTTGCCTGATCTATGCTTATTTTATATTCTGCATTTTAATTTCATCTTTTGTAAATAATAAAAAAAATATTTTATCTTATTTATATTTTTTAATTTTTTTTTTTTTTTTTTTTTTGTAATTTTTATTTTTTTTATTTTTTATAGCTACATTCCATCTCTATTGTGGGGAAAAAATGGACATATCCAAACTCTGGTGTGTGGTGTCCGCAGACGAAATCAAAATGTACATGACCTCAAAGAGAGGAAAGAGCTGACCATGGAGGATGGTGCCACAGTGACCTTTGATGTATTTGAGCCAACTCGACCACACCCAAAAGGAGGAGGTTGGCATTGTTTGTTTGTGTTTAGGGTTCTTGCCATTGTATTTTCTTTCATAGAAAATGTCTGATATCTGTATATGTACATTAATCACAGCAAATTTAATACTTGAAAAAGAAAGAAAAAAAAAAAAACTTATGCAAAAAGTTTTAAAATTAATGTAGACATCTATTAGTAAAAAGAACTTTATGAAAGAAAATTAATTTTTGTATTTACTGTCCTGAAATTTAAATATTAATTTATACACTTAAAAAAAGCTTCCTCATAAACTTATCTGTGAATATTTTTCCATGCATATATCAAGAGTAGAAAAACACCTTCTCTTATGAAACTGGTAATAAGTAATTATAGAAGGACAAGGTATTTGTGCTACTGAAATTTTTTCCTCAATTCAGGGTTACTGGAAATTTTCTGATAAAATCTGGTTTTAATTTTTCTTTAGAAATTTGACAAATAACATTTAAATATCATTCTATCTCATTTCTAAGTTTTTGTTTTTGTTTTTTTTTGTTTTTGTTTTTTTTTGTTTTTGTTTTTTTTGTTTTTTTTTTTTTTTTTTTTTTTTTTTTTTTTTTTTTTTTTTTTTTTTTTTTTTTTTTTTTTTTTTTTGTTTGTTTTTTGTGTTTTTTTGTGTTTTTTTGTTTTTTTTTTTTTGTTTTTTTTGTTTTTTTTTGTGTTTTTACTAATGCGTGGTGGTGGGGAGATGAATTCTTCATGAAAAAGAAATATTTTGTGTGCATGGGATATTAGTGGTGACTCCAGTCCTCAAGCTATTTGGACATTGTAAACCAACTGTCATGTTTATTTCAAACAAGCAATGTCTCAACAGGACATTTGTATATTTTTATGAATAGCTAACAAATTTCTGTCCAAACTATTAAGAATAATCTTTAAAATTTGTAATGCTTTTAATTTACTATTTTTCAAGATACATAGCACTGTTACAATTGCATAACTTAAATTTTTTGGCTTAAATTTTGTGCTTCATGAACAAAATTTAATGAGGCTAACTTGGCCTTATTGAACATTTTCTTTTATAGTGAAACAAATGAACTGTAACACTAAGCTTGAACAGTAAATGCTATTTACTAAACAGCTGTAAATATAAATTGTTTCCCATTTTTTTTATTCTTGTATTTAGTCAATTAGTTACACTACAGTTTCTGTGGAAATCGAAAATTTAATACTTTTAGCATTATTCCCTTCAATGTGAAAAGGAAAAAAGAAACTAAATTTCATGTATAACATGTAATAAATTGATTTACTCCACTAAAATATTTAATTAAAATTTTTATTATAAATTAGAATATTACTCTTATTTTATTAATAAATATTCTTTGAATATTTTCAACAAATCTCAATAACATTAACTGGTGCTACTAATTATTTAGTCTGAATGACAAACAAAATATCACAAAAGACCTTTCATTCATTTAATTAAAATTTCAAAGATAACTTAAAAAATATAGTGGCATATATTTCTTATGCCATAGGCTTTACACTCAAATACCCAGATGTGTTTGAGGTTTGATTACAAGTCCTAAGTAAATGAATTCCAGTATTTGTATAATAATAATGACTTTAAAAAAGTGCAAGTAAATCAATGCCATTTTATTTATGTATTATAAAGTGAGTTTCTTGTCTGTTATGTCTGACACTGTTAAACTTATGACTCTCTCTCATATATATATATATATATATATATATATATATATATATATATATATATATATACACACACACACACACACACACATCATTTCAGTTGTAAATGATGTTGTACAATATGGTAAGGGTATGTTGGGGTTGGATGTAACATTAACTGATTGCTCTATCAAGAATTATGGGGCTAATAGGCAGAGAAGAGAAAGAGACTGAAGGTAACAAAATAATACTGCCTCAGAGACTTCACAAGACAGTGTCTTGCCAAATACACATTGCTGATTACTCATTTTCTCATCACTTTTATTGGCATGTAGCAGCTTACAAAGACCCAGATCTTGACCATTTGCAGAGAGGCCCATATCTATATATGCCAAGCTGTTCACTGCTAACAAGGAAAACCCAGATGTAATGAATGTTGACAGATATAGCCACATATGACTTGAAGTCTCTTTTCGCATCTGTACCAACTCATGTTGCCCCCCCCCCATCTCTTATTCACAGATATGACAGCTCAGACAGGTCTCTTCCATCAAATGCTTCTTTGAAGAGGTGTCTGGTTCATGTTCCTCAATCTTGTCCCCATGTGATTCTTTTTGTGTGGGATAATCTGGCTTATCCACACTGATGAGGATTTCCTCCTCACTTTAGTACATATCTTCACTACTTGTTGAATATTGCAAACACTGGAAAGGACATGGCATGGTATTCCATCCACTATGACTGATTGTGGACTAACAAGTTCAGTAATTTGCTCCTTTCCAATAGCTGTTGTACAACAATTGTTTGGTGTCTTTATCCACACAGTCTCCCACCTTGTACACTATCACAGAGATCATTGGACACACTGAATCATCCCCTTTCAGCTAAATCTTGTATATGTAGATTTGATTTGCAGGCCCAGTCACTGATGTGGTACCATCTTTGGGGGTGACATTGTACCAGTACGTGGTCAAATAAGTCTTGGCGGTGTAATGGCCACCACACAGAAAAATATGACTGATCACAATCTGTTAGTCTCGGGTAATGGCTACCATGGTAGTGCATGATGTGAATGTTCAACCAATGCAAAGTACTGTTCACTCTGTCTGCCCTTTTGCCAATGGACTGATGCAGGATCTATTGTCGTGCTGCCAACTTTACTATGACCTTTGATACAGGAGGACAAACTCTCCTTACAATATGTAGTATGCCACACTCCTGAATACCTATTACATCAATGTATTTCCATTATCTGACAGGGACTCCTTATGTCCAAGAAAGTAGCACACCTGCTGCAGTGGTTCAGCATCCTTGTTGGCCATATCAAGTCACTTTTGGGGTACATGTGTCACCTTGTCTGCCAAGTTTTTGTTTGACGCAACCAGCTCCATATCCACTGGTATTCTTGGACCATTTATTTCATTGTGCTCGACTTTCATCACGCCAGCATCTCACTCACTGCTTTGGTACATACCCGAGATTTGCCTGTGAGGGTGCCACAGCCAGTGGTACACACAAGGAATCTGTTTTTATATGCAAACTCTTTGCCTGTCACTGGAGGGCCAAATTGAGGCTTTTTGATTGCAGCATCTATTTCAACCAAGTTGATATGTTGGGCATTGTTTGTTGACCAAAGCCAGCATGTGTCCTCCAATGTCTTATCTTTTTCTAGCATCACTCCTGTAACTGGGTAGCTTGCATCGACCCATACATTGATTGCAGATTTGTTCACACCACTTGCCCCAGTAGGATCTTCTTGTCACACTCTATTCAAGGTTTCCTTCACCATCTGCTTGAGGTAGGGATACTGTCAATTTGGTCATCCTATCCCTTTGTGACTGTTTGTCTGCCACTTGACACTTGATGAACACAGTTACCACATGCAACCATCCACACATGAGGAGATGCTCCACCAGTGACATAAGACATTCTTCTGAGTCCAGACATCGAGTCCATTGCGGTGTTACACTCCTCCCTGACTTCCAGTTCAAACATTTGTAAATGTGCAAAATGGACTCAACACAATGAATTAACTTTCCTTGCAGTAGATGCAGCTATTGATTCAATGTAGTTGTTCCATTTCAAGTCAGTTGCATAACTGGGCTAGCACCACACTTGCTGTCTACTTCCATTTTGCAGTACAGATCCTTTGCACTCAACAATAGTGAGACCCCAGTCTGAACCCTCAAATACAGAAATGAGCATCAGGTTGAACTTGCCATGAGCCAAATAGTTTTTAAAATACAGCAAGGATTTGAGATTGAGGAGAAATGCTAACCAATTGTTCTCCCAAGGACTATGGGGTGAATAGACAAAGAAGAGAAAGACAGGAGATAACAAAACACTTCCTCAGAAACTACAGCAACTTGAGAAGGAACAAAATACAAGATACAGTCTTACCAACTGCTGATTGCTGATTTTCCCATTAAATTTTATTGGTATGAGGCAGCTTAAAAGCACCCAAATCTTGACCAGTTGCTGAGAGCCAATATCTAGATATGCTAAACTGTTCTGCTGCTAATGGAGTGGCAGGAGACTGGATGTAATTAGTATTAGCAGACATGACTGGATGCAACTCTGGGCCTCTTTTGCATATGTGCCAATGCATGTTTGCCACAAATGAAAGATTAACTTTCAACAGTATTGAATCATTTTTCAGATGTTCTATGGCTTGAGAACAGTTGTCTTCACCAATTTTCCAGGTTCAGTGAGACTCCTGCATGTTGCTTCAGAATGAAAAAAAAAATTATTATATAAGATATTGGAGGAATTTTCTATGAAACTAAAGTACTTGGAATTTGTTTTAAATGAAGTGTTTATTTCTTATGAAAATATATACCTTTTTACTTTTAATATACTTGTGCATTGCCCATTCTCTGTAAATGCATTGATTTTTTTCTAATCCTTTCATATCTATTTAATAGAAATGCATTAAAGATTAAAGAAAAAAATATATTTCCTAATAGTCCGCACCACACTAATTATCACAATTCAACATATTTTGTCTGTCAAATAAATTTAAATAAACTTTTGGTCATGTAAGTTAGCCAACATATTCAAAATATTGAAGTCAACCATTGAAAATCCTTTGCACAAATTGCCTTCAGTTTAAGTTAAAAACAATGGGTCAGATAAGTTGCCCAATGTTCAAAAGTCCTTGGGTGGTCACTTTAATTAAAAAAAATTCCATAAACAGAACTAATCATATTTGTCCCTATACAATGACCTGTTAGATAATCTGTGTGTGTATCCACAGATTTATTCGATTGTAATTTGATACTTAAATTCTTCTTTGAATATAGTATCCTAAACTACATGTAAATTAATTTTATTAGAAAATCTTTACTTGGCCAAAGTACCATTGGTGAGCTAGAGTTGTTCCTGATGTTTGCTTCCTACATTCTCACAATATATTGACATTTTGTGAATTTATTTTTACTACCACACATTAAGCATCCATTTAACTAAAAAAAAATTCTAATTATTCAATTTGTGATCTCACTGTTATAGAGTAGGTAAGGAGATATCAGTTTGAAAAACTGAGAATTCAAACCAAATTGTAAAAATACTGATTTCAACAGGAACTGCTAATCCTAGTTACACTTTGTTTCCTTAGCTATGAGTAAGGTAAACCTCAAAAAATATTTGGTTGTTATATCTTTTTTTTTTCTTTTTTTCCTTTAAAGCTCTGATTCCTGTTTATCATGGAATTAGTGTATAACTGAAAATCAGTTCTTTGACTATTTACAATTTCATTGTTTTTTTTTTTTTTTTTTTTTTTTTTTACACACACACTTAACAATTCCTAAACCCATGTTTGTATACACTTTGGATCCTAATGTGTTGTTTTACCTCCCTCCACCCTCAACTTCTTTTTCAAATTTTGATCAGTGTCTGTGCTCAACACTGTCATTGATACTTGCATCTCCTGAAGGTCTTGCAAGGGTTAATTATAAGTAATATAACATGAAAAAGAGTATATCTAAATATTAATCCTTAATGTTTATTCAAAGTTCATATAAATTTTAGCTGCTCTTCCTTGCCCAGCGTAAAAAGTGCTAAACTATCAGTTATGAGCCTCTGTATATTGCTGGACATGTCTTTTTTTTTTTTTTTTTTTTTTTTTTCTATTGTGAAAAATGTCTTTGGTACTGACTGTATATCTCAAGATGGCTGACCATTTAATGCTGTCACCTGTTACAATCATTCACATAGCAGTTGTACATGCAAAAATAACTACATTTCATGTCCTTTAAGCAATAAACTAGTGTTCTTGACATAAAATCACAAATAATTAATTCTATTTGTGCAGGTCTTAAAGTTGTCTTAGTTTAAATAAGACATACAAGGTTGTGCTTTCATCGTAGTATCTGTAACTTTTCTTTCTGCAGTAGGAGTTCAGATACTAGTAAAAGTGATTCATATATTTACTTTGTTTTTCTTTTTTTTTCTGTTCCTTTACAGGGAGGCACCACTTGAAAGGGTTCTAGTGATTCCAAACTTTGACTTTTGTACAACCAAACCAATGATACAATAGCAGATATTTAAGTTCTTAGCAATGATCTTATAATTCTAACTATTAGAATGAGGCTCAAGTTATTGTTGCAGGTGATTTTAGGAAACATAAGAGCTTAGTAAATCTCAAAAACCATGAAAATTTTGTAGTAGTTACACAATATATCTAGTAGAATTAGCAAATAAGGCCAGAAAACTACATTTTAACCAGAAAAATCTTTTAAAAATTAGACATAATGTAGTGAAAACCTCTGAAATGATGTTATGTCAGAAACCCCTAAGACACATTGTGCCTCCTTGATTTAAATTTCTCCATTGACATTTTATTGAGTAATGTTAGACAATTTTTCTTGCCATAATTTATCTTGCATCTTTGTCTACCATTCATCTGTGCACTGAATATTGCTGCCACATCTGCTCTAGTGTATCTTGCTGCTATGTATCTAGAGATTCTTGACAAAATCCAAAGAATGCAATGTCATTGGTCCTGACATCTTCAGTCACTATCCCATCAGTGTAACATAGCTTCCCTGTACCTTTTTTTTTTTATAAATATTTTCATGGAAATTGTTTTGATGAACTCTCTGCTTTGGTACTTGGGTCTCATGAATTTAAGCAAAACAAGATTAGCAAATAATCTCCTCATTTTACTATTGAAATTGCTACATGTAACTAAGTTCTACATTAAGTGTTTCTCTTTTCTCTTGTGCATTTTACTTGTGAAATGTTCTTCCGGCTTCTTTCCTGTCAACTATAATATTCAAAGATTTAAATAGTTTTTTGTCTCCTTCAACCCTGTCCTTTTATTGTTCTCTCTCTTGTGTGTGTGTGTGTATATATATATATATATATATATATATATATATATATATATATGTGTGTATATATGTGTGTGTCTGTGTAAAACATGTCTCCCTGTCAGTAACCCCTTGTGGCTTTTATCACCTTGCTTTGGGGTAAAATGATTCAAAACATAGCCACTCAACATGTTTCCTGTCACAATTATCATTTTAAAAGATAAAATATGTTGATAGAAGATAGATAACCATATGTTACATTAAATGTTTCAAGTGTCTAACCAACTTTAAAGGTACTTAATTAGAACATTGAAAGTTTTGGTGACTGGCAAGCTTTTCCTCTTAACAAGGTTTGTCTGTTATATCAAGATATGCTGATTGCATGACTAGAGACTGTAAGGTTATTTTAGGCCAATGGTTTTTTTTATTAGACACATTCATACCCCTGCAAAATGTAAATTTTCTTTCAAAAATATTTTCATTAAAGGAATATATTTTTACTCACAGTGAGAGAAACAACTTATGAGGAACAGAGAATTCCATTAAAATATTTTCCTGTTTGATCACAAGATGCACACTCAAAACTATTGGTCAATTGCAAAGTGTTTATCAGGTACCACAGCTTATAACCTTTTCTCTTCATCACCAGATTCCAGCATATGTCTAAATGAGGATATTGTCTTTTGTTAAGCTCTCCAGGTTCTTGAGTCTGGACAGTTTCCTCCTTTTACCATTGTCTTCAGCTATTTCTATAAATTCTCATTAAATTAAGATTTTGATCTCTGACTTGACTTTGAAACATTAATCTTATTGTTTATGAACCATTTCTTGCTAGCTTTGACACATTTTTGGGGCTATTTTGTTGAAAATGTCCACTAATGTTCGAGCCCAAATTTTCTTTGGCTAATATTTTGGTCCAAAATAGGAATATACTCTTATTTGTTCATAATCCCATCAACTTTAACAAGGCTAATTCCACTGGCTGAAAAATGCTATTACCACTATACTTGACCTTTTAGAACTTTTGGGGGTTGAAAGCTTCACTCTCTTGCCAAATAAAAGTAACAACCATGTGCCTAAGAAATTCAAGCCATCTGAAGATGTGAGCTATCAGCATTGTAATTTTCTAAAACCTGGCTAGGTAAAATGAAGTTATTATCAGGAAATGTTTCCTCATATAAATGAGTGTGAATTTTGCTTGGTAATCATTTTCTATGAGAAAAAATGAACCAGTTTCAAGAATACTGTATTTTAATTTTTTTTTTTTTTTTTTCCTATGAAATTTTAAGTTTACAGAACACATTTGGTTAGTTTATCTAAGAACTCTTCTCCCACTTCAAGTCAACCACTAACACTCGACCACAATCAGAAGTAAAGGAGATCAATTTTATTGATTTTTCTCTAAGGACACTACAGAATCTGGGTCCAATTACTGACGAGTGTCATCAACTAACAGGTGGAACTAGGAAAGGCTTAATCTTTGTTTAAGTGAAGCAGGACACTTGTTCACGGACATGATGTAGTTGGCTGATTTTGATAAATTATCAAAACCACCCAGTTAAATCTGATGCAGCAAACCAACTGGTTGTAGTTGAATACTGTGACAAGCTGACCACACCCCAGTAACTGGTTATATATGATGCTGTGTCACCAGGATAAGAGCTATCAAGTTGATTCAAGTCGTAATAGAAGACATAAAGGACCCCAGCCAACCTATTATCAAAGTGTGACAACTTTTCTGATTATAAAAGTTTAACTCGATTAGTACTTAGTTAACCACTTAATAGACATAGTAAGCAAGTCAGTTTGAGATTATTTTTCTTTCTCTCCATAGCAGTACATTTGTTATAGTGCAATTGTTATCAATCCAATCTTATAAGCCATTGCATATAAATTCATTCTTCACCAGATGCTCCATTCTTATTCTATTTACATTCAATTTTATTTATCTTGCATAATTTTCACTTTTCTCAAAAGTGCTTCTAATTGTCAGGTTGGTGTTTGATATGTATAAAATATTGAGAAGGAGAATCTTTAAAATGTTTGTTTGTTTTTTGTTTTTGTTTTTTTTCTAAGCTATAGAATGGCTCTTAGTCAATATTGCATTCAAAGTTATTTATCCAACTTTTTGTTTTGTAGACTACACTATCCAAGTTTGCCCTGGCATTGGTAGCAACAGTGAAAGTTGTTATATCACTTCATTTGTAAGTCATGCCCAAAGTGAAGGCTATCGTGTTGTGATACAGAATCACCTGGGGACCTTGAAAGATGTCAAATTAACTTCACCTCGGGTTTTCAATTATGGTATGTTCAAATAAGCTTTACTTCAGTTAAAAACTTAATTTTAATTTGGTACAGTTTGTATTTCTGGAAAGGTGAAAAGAATAGTTTAATTAGAAAAAAAAAGTATAAGCTTGAAAATTTGAGTCCATATAAAGGGCTTTATTTTTAGGATTGGCACATTATATTTATTATGCAATAGCTGTGTTTAATTTTTTTTTCCTCTTAACTAAGTGTTCTTAATATTATTACTTATTTGATTAAAGCTCATTGTCAAATCTAAAATATATCAACTTGTCATTAAGATATCCATCACCAGAGAAGGTATGCTGGAAATTTTTGGCATGAGACGATTTTGAATCTTGATTCTTATGTAATTTTTTTTTTTTTTTTTTTTTTTTTTTTTAGAATTTAAAGCTTACACTTGGAAGATTTATCAAATGAATCTGTATTTTTGGGGTTTGAGGGGAGAAGGTGAGGGAATATGCAAACTATAAATCATATTTAAGTTTTTATTTAACTGTTTTTCAATTGAAAAGGTCAATAGAAAGAGCTAAACTATATCAGCTGGGCAAAGTTTGTCACTTTCAACTTTTCTTTCTTTTTTTTTTTTATGGTGATTCAACAGATTTGACTATAATTGCATTGCTGATTACTAGCACATGTCCATTCCCTCTTGATGCCAAATTTTTACCTTGCAACTCATTAGGCAGTGTCATAGATATCCAGAAGTGATTCAGTTTATTTTAAAGTTTGAAATAAGTTTAAAGGTTGAAACAAATAAATTCAAATAAGAGAAATTTATCCTGTCAATATTGATTTGTGACCAAGTTTTTGTTCTTAAAAAAAAAAAAAAAAAAAAAAAAAAAATGCCTTTTATATAATTAGCAAGTAAGATAAAATTGTTTTAGACTTTGTAAAACTGGCTTAAAATATCTGAAAGTGGAATCAAATTTAAATTTGTGTGTGCGTATATATAATTTTTGATTGAATTGGAAACCATAATTATCCTAATAAGTTAAACTGTAGTCTGAGGGAAAAGACTGATTCCCATTTATTTGTATCTTGTCTTTTTTTATTTTTGTTTTTAATTTCAGAAACTATCAGCAAAGATGTCTAAGATTGAAGTCCATGTAAGCAGCAATTATGTTGCTCATCTGTATGCATGTAAAGAAGCAGATGTTGCCAACATATTTGAAAATTTTTTTTTTTTTTTTTTTTCCAACATGCTTCCAATACTGTGGGGACTGCTGGTTACACAGTACAGGAGAATTTGGACACTTAAAAATATTTTCAATATACTTCCATAGCATAAATTTACCTGAAATCAATATAGGTTATGTATTTTGATATGAAATTCAAGAATATGAAAACAAAAGTTGTAAATATATAAAGCTGCCTTAAGAGGAAAAACAAAAGTAACAAGATAAAAACATTTGGACATAAGAATTTAATAATAGCAATCATAATATCTTTGAAATTATGGTTTAACATTTCATTAACGGGCCTTTACAGCATTGTTGTAGAGTTTGGACCTACTTTGAAAATATACTTTAAATCTACAAGAATATTTGAATACACTTCGAACTTTGCAAATTTCCATTGGGATTTAAGATGATCTATTTTATACTGTAGAAGTATAAAACTTTTCAAGTGTCCAGATATTTTTTATCCCATTGTAGTACTATTTATTTGTTCAGTCCCTTACCCAAGAAGGTACTTTTAGACCTAAAAAGGGCATTTTGCACACAGAATCCACTGTCTTATGTAAACAACTTGGTCCTGCTAGCTTAAAGTAGAAAATACCAAGTTTATTGATCTCGTTTAACTTTAATTTTGAATGTTAAATACTTCAAACAAAACTTTCCTTAGCTGGCAGCATTCTGGATTTTCATTTAGACTGAATTGATAAAAATTAGGTGAATTTCTTTTTTTTTTCTTTAAGATCTTGTTTTTCTCTTTACATAAAACAAATATGCCAGCCAAATATATGTTTGAAAATTTATCTTAAGTACAACATATTTGACACAAATGAACGTAAGCAAATTTATTTAAAGTGATGTTTTGGTAAGCTAAATAGTATTTAGTACAAATTAAGTTGTCTAGATTTAAAAAAAAAAAAAAAAAACTTTTAATGATCTGTACATGTGGGGTTAGTGCAATGGTTATTGTGGAAAGTGCAATTGAAGAGTAAAATTCAAATTCAAGCCTAGTCTGTTGCATTCACTTTTGCAATAATGCTCTTGGAAGAAGCATGAATTCATCTCTTCTCCTTCAGCTATGGGTTAAATAGCAACATAGACTGGGCTCTTTCCCAAAATATCATGGTAATTCTCAGATAAAGAAAAAGTAGTTTGTGGAGAGCCATGATTGTCCATGTCCTGAAGGAACATGGCATTTAAAAATAAAATTACCAACAAGGTAAATCACTAATTTTCCTGATTAGTCATTATTTCACATTCAACGGTGTCAGCCTTTTGAATCTAACATTTTGTTTGTTCATTACTAAGAAATTAAGCTAAAAATGGCAGGTCAAGACAAAGGATTCAAAAAACCTTCTGATGAGGATCACCTGTTCAGTTATATGCTTTGATTTGTTTGTTTATTTTTTTAACCCACTAAATGTTTGGCACAAAGGTAACCTGTAGTATCCCAAGTTTTTTTTTTTTTTTTCTCTCTCTCTCTCTCTTGTGTTGTCTTAATGAGAAAAGGCTTTGTAAAACTCTGTATAAGAAAGCTTGATAATGACTGTAATAAATGGACCCTTATCTATTAGGGAAAAGAAAAGTGAGCAATATATAAATATTGCCTCCAACAAAAAATAGTGTCATTATCCCATATTAACAAAAAGATCTTATTATTGTAGTCAATTTAAAAATGTTAAAAGTTTATTTAAAATATTTATTGGATTTTATTTTTAATGAAGTTTTGGCATTGCTGATTACCCCCCACACACACACACACACACACAGTCAGTCATAGTGTGATAACTGGATGCTTTACATAAAAGTGAACAAGATTCATATTAAGCTTAAAGCTTTGTCCATTGATTCAGAATGTCATGTCTTAGTTAACACTAACTCACTTGGGCATATTTAAATATATCTTACTTTTTTGTTAAAAAAATTCAATATTTAGTCAATGTTAGTTTTAAATCTTATCTAAGTCATTTAAAGATTATAAAAGTCTATCCACTTCAAAATCAAACAGCTAAACTTGTGTGATGTGACTTTAAGTACTATTTTCATTCTTGGAATGTATTATCTTGGAGGTGATGCTAAAAAATAGTGGTATCTATGAATTTTTTTTTTTTTTTTTTTTTTTTAATTAAATGTCAGATATTTAAATATAGGAATTTTCCTTCCTCAAGCACTGATAACACTTAGAAAGGAATTGTTCATTAATAGCAAAACTAGAACTGGCCTTTTTATCTGTAAAGGTCAGTGTGGCAAACAAGCATTGCTCCTTTTGAATTGTCAGTACAAGAAAACGGGATGATCTGTTCTTTTCTGAAAGTAGAAATCTAATCAAGATTTGTGTCAGTAGGGCCTAGAAGATGCTGACAGCATCCCTTGCAGAAGGACAAGATGTGTGTGTTTTTTTTGTTTTTTTTGTTGTCTTTAGTTTTGTATATCACAAACACCCCTACACACACATATATATATATATATATATATATATATAAATCATTATTAATGATTTTCAGGTGTTTTTTTTTTTTTTTTTTTATAATTATCTGTATTGTAAAAACAATTTTGGATAATTCATGTTAAATTTTTAAATACATACAATTTACTTCTCTTGAGTTCTGGAACTATGGCCACATCCAGTTGAAACACTGGTTCCTGTACAATCACCAAAGTTAAGCAATGTTGAGCCTGGTCAGTACCTATATGAGTGACTGCTGAGGAATACCAGGTGTTTTAAGTTTGGATATGCAAGTGGTGTAATGGTTAATGTCTCAAAATAAATTGAAGAGCAGTTCCAATTCCGGTTGGGTTTATGTTCACTTATGCACAAATATCCTTGGAAATGGTATAAACATATCCCCCCAGCTATGGGTTAATTAGTAAAACTTGTATCACTAAGCCATTATTACCACTCCCCCCCCCTACAAAAAATATCTTATGATCTGAAAATATTTTCTGGTTTTAAATAACCTGCAAAATGTTACACTGTAATAAAGGAATCAATCCATTTTTGGGGGGGGGTTCCTTCAAGAAATATACAACTGAAGTCACTGAGATTGTTAATTCCAGGTCTTTAAACTGTATTTGTTGTCAAAAATTTGAATACTTAGGCATGAATTCATTTTTTTAAACTTTAAAGAACTCCATAACTATAATCTATAATTATTTTAAGAACAAGATGTAAAAGACAATGTTTCAAAGTGTCCAAGGGAGAGAAGTCTTTTCTTTGCATGCAGGCATATGTACACACACACACACACACAATGGACTCTATCATGAACAATAAATGAGGGTCACCATTGGATGGTGCCTTTTGTTTTACACTTATGCATGCTAGCAGGGGCAATTGTAGAGAAAATCAGGTAAGATATTTGTACTTTCTTAAGTGATACTAGCCCAGCTTTGCTACAGGCAACAAAGCCACACTGACAGATCAAATTTGTTAAAGCAGGATTTTGATGGCATCTCTTCTTCAGAGCTTGACAAAGCTGATCAGTGCTTCAGTTTACTCTCTTCAAACCCCTTTAACTTAATGAAACCTGTCTTATGTCACTCCTTTCAGTTTGATGCTTGGGCTTCCCAGGTTTTCAGATTAAAGTTGGACGTTTCAAGTTGTCTTTCAATTTGTCTTTGTAGCGTAAGAGTGGATGTCCAACTGAAGGCTTGGAGTTTGGTAGTTGTCCATACAGCACCTTTTTTGGAAGCCTATGCTCATCCATTCTCACAACATGACCAGTGCACCTAAGTTGTATCTTTTCTTGAATGGTTTCAATGCCTGTGATATTACATTTCTTCAGTATTGTACTATTCTTGACCCTGTCATTCCATTTTATA